AGCTATTTGACCAATCAGTGTCTCCACTTCTTGATGGATGCTTGCTGATTTTGAAAATTAGTATCAATTTTTTGGAATACTTTGTCTGTTTGTTGCACATATTAATGAAACGTCTCCCCTAAACTTGATTTGTTCTCCTGTTGGGCATTATTTAAATCATTCCCTTGTTGATTATCTAACCATCTAAAATTCGGGTGTTGTCTCCATCCTGGGTTATTTGTTTGCGAATATAGGTTAAATTGCTAGAGCCATTCTCAATTAAATTGACTTGTTCTCTAGAAAAGCCCATAGACATGTAGTTTTCTGTCGGATGGTTAGCTGCACAGTTTTCACATGATGGGCCATCAATCACTATATGTGCTCCTTTCGTTTATAATTTCACCAATAGCTCTACCTGCTTTATCAAAGCTGCTATTTGCATATTCGTAGATGTTGTGCTATCTAATTCATACACCCCCAGAAACTCTCAATGGTACCACTCTTTCTGATGAAAATATTGAATATGTAGTGGCAATTAACTCAAATAAACCCAAGATTTGTTGTACTGATTTTCCTATAATTGATCTACCCGTAAAGGAATCCACTTGAGATTTTGACAGTGGTGAGAGTCCAGTGTAGAAATACTACACTTGATTATCTATTGTGATTCGATGATTTAGACATTTTTTCATCAGCTTTTCGAATATGTTCCATGCCTCATAATAGTTCTCTCCATCTTTCTGTTGGAAAGTTTGAATTTCCAATCTGATTTTAACTACTTTGGTCGGTGGGAAGAATTTGCTACAAAATTTTCTAATCAGCTCTTCACATGTAGTAATGGTTCCATGACGTTTGACGTCTAACCACTCCAATGCAGTATCTCTGAGTGTATATAGAAATAATCGCAACTTAACAGCGTTTCATTAACCCCCGGAGCATGGAAGTTCTGAGAATTTTTGAGAAATTTGAAAATATGTGTGTTCGGATTTTCATGAGGTTGCCCGTTGAATTGGAGAATGTTGCTCGTCAAATTGAACCACTCTCGCCTTACCTAAAAATTAGTTATCCCGAAATATGAATGCACAATACAGGAGCACTAGTGGAAAGTCTCATTCGTTTATTTCCCCTTGCTCGTGTTGCTGATTCGGTGGTGCCACTACTCTTACGGTCACTTTTCCAATTGACTGAATAGAAATAAGAATATTTTGACTATCAGATCTGATGTTGCTATGTTTTGTGTTATTTGCGTTTTCGTCTGAAAGTACGTTCTATTTTCGAGTCAACGGTTCAAGACCATTGTCTTGTATACAGAGTATACAATGAACACTTTTTTTTAATAGAAGAAAGTGAAATAAAATCAAATCAAATAAAAGTTAAAAATAAAATAAATTAAGACTAAAAATAAATAGTTCTCGGCAGCAGCAAAAAACTTGTTGCATTTTTTATATTGCAAGTATATGATATCGTAACAAGCAGTATAGTGGACCTTTGAGCTCAGATATCATTTCCACGAAGACTGTACTTTAGGATTTAATATAATTTTTTCTAACTCCTATTTGAGAAAAAAAAAGTAAATAATTATGATGGTTGTGATTATTTTTTCTAACTACATTTAACTAATTGAAAATATAAAAAGATTACAAACAATGGATAATTGAAAATTCAAATATGTGATGAATATTGGGACATAATAATTTCATCTATTTATCACCTTAATCTTAATTCAATATTCATAACTTAATGTAATTGTTGTGCTGTCGTAGGCACCCAAAAATAGTGTTTAAACTTCTAAAACTAATGTAGTAATGAAAGGAAGGGTTGATCACACGAAAAGTGTGCAATTCAACAATTTATACTTCGTATAACGATTAGGGATTTTGTTTATAACGAAATCAATCTTATAACAAATAACAATGTAAATTAACAAGTTGTATTAAATCAATGAAACGAGTCTTGATCAAAGTCAACTTCCACCATTGGAGATTTATAATCATTCATCAATCCACAAAAAATAATTAATCCATATTTACAATATTCATCGTTGGAATAAATTCATATTTCTCCTTAATTTTAGTTAATCAGAAATCAGCGTTCTAATTAACCCTAATTATCAAATAATCTCATACCAATGCTAAAATTCAATTTAATAACAGTTTTAAAATATTATGTTCCAAATTTGAAGAGAAATATTATCTCCTTATGTACTCTTGATTTAAAATAATACAAGTATACTGGTGAAGATGGAGTCTTGAAGGTCAATAAAGGTGCTTGTTTTGTATTGTAGGGACGGAGAAAATACCAGTTATATGACATACATGATTCTACAAACGCATTGGAGACTAACAAGCAGAAATTAAGTTCATTGGTGGATATTCAATTTGATAAAGTACCATTGGAGTTTGGCTTAAGTTCTACATGAAGAATACATCTTAGTCGAGTTCACAAGTTATGAGTAATGTAGCTTTGCTATGACTAGTGTTGTCAAGATGGGCGGCCCGCCCAAGACCACCCGGAGGCGAACCAGTTTTTATGCTATTGATGTAAAATTTATCGAAAAATAAATCAATGCGGGCCGGTCCAGCCCAGCCCGCACATTTTGACATCTTTAGCTACGACCACTAGTGGTGCTATCATATTTAATTGCTAGGGACAAACCTAGAAGAGATATTGGTCCCCAAAAAGGTACTAGGAAGCTGATTTGGTGGCATATACTTTAAGTGTGGTTGAAATTATTAAATTTAGCAAATAACCTTCTAAAGAAGCAGTTTGTTGTGGTGATTTTGTTGCATGGTATATTTATGCCCTTTTGATAATTTGTGAATTTGTTCTTGTTGGAATAATTCAAGCAACTTTGGCACCCGATAAAATTGTGCTAAGTAATGCTTGGATTCACTTAACTGAGTTTAGTCTAGTTGGATTTCATGGAAGAGAATTTTGGTGGAGAGTTTTGTGATTTTTTTATTTTTTATTTTTGAAGAGTTAACTTTTATTCCTTGTGTTGAAGTTTTGTTCATTACAGTGATATTTGTGTCAAGATGAAGATTTCTTGAATATGTGACAAATTCTAACGTTGGTTCGTGTTTCGGTTGAAAATGAGTTAAATAGGCATTAAAGTTAGCAATTGGAAATTTGGAGCACTGAGTGCTTGGGTGTCCAAACGGGGCACCTAGGCACTAGAAACGGATTTTGGGATCAAAACTCAGTGCGTAAGTGTCATTGGTTGCTGGGCTATAGCTCGCTTGGAGCTAGGGTACAACTCGAACGGTTCGCGCCTCGACCGAGACCTTATTTGAAGGAGTTTTGTTTCCGTTATTCTGACTCGTTTTTTATCCTCTTTTCATATAAAATTAATTCTTTTTGGTCCTATATATACTCCACGAATTGTATGGCTTTCATATGACTTTGTATAAAGTTGTAGAGAGTTGAATAATATTGTAAACACAATTCATTGTATTTTTATCCATATTAATAAATTCTTCATTCTTATGTCAATTGTTGAGTTTTTCTAGTATTCTGGTTGCTATTTCATATTGTGCTATATAATCTCGTCTTTATTTCCTAACGTGAACAACTTTGTTCAAGGAGTTTAGGTCCATGATGCACCATGTGATCACATTTAGGTTACCTTGCTCTCAAGTATCTTATAACCCTAAATTTCAATGACGTGGACTACGTCATCATTGGAAGGGCTAAGTTTTAAACTTGTATGGTATTATAGTGGAGTACATAAGTGCACGCTAGTATATATAGGAACTTTAATTTCAATATTATAGAACTCTTTGTTTCCATTCTTTGTATGTTAATCAACATTGTGTAGTTTCTCGATTAACAACTCTCAATATTTAACAAGTTAAAAGTCATTCCAACTGCTTTCAAGTTAAAGAGGAAAGAACTTGACTGCAATGGCCCAATCCCTTTTTGTCGATATTGTTATTAAGGTCAATAGGTCACGTGGGCTGGTTTTCAAATTTTTTATTACCAATTTCAAAAGCAACCAAAACATGGAAAACGAAAATAGTAGACGTGTGGAGCCACCACAATAAGTGTTGTTGACGTTAAAAAATGAATAGACAAATTTCAAGCCAACTTAGAGAATTAAAGTGATTCATGTATAATCAAAAGATTACAAGATGTAACATGAGGAGATATTTGAAATATGAGAAATATGGGAGAGCCTCTCCCTTCCTTCTTTTGAGGTTCTACCCTTCTTATAGGAAAAGATATGCATGTTCCATGTACTTCATGTCTCGTTTCTCTGATTCAAATTGAAAACACGAGTAAATGAGCACTTAATTAAATTTCAAATAAGTCCAACTTTACGTGCCAATCTAGTCTGGTGTTTGTCTCTCCAAAAGCATACTCCAATTCATCAATGTTCCAATACAACCATACTCCAATTTCATGCCCAATTCATTATTCTAAATTCAAAACAAGGTTTCGAATCCTTCAGGAGGATTTTCTCTGATCCTGCATATAAATATGGCTTGATGCACTTGCTGGAGAGCCACTGATTGGTTGCTCGAAAGGGAGGGAACTCGAAGATAGCCCTTCATTTCCGTGATAACTTTATAATTTTTTTATAGATGTTTGCCTTCACTTCATTGATTTTATTTTGGCTCATTGGTATGAATACGTTTTATAAGATAAGGGTATATTCATATTATCCGGCCAAAGCAACAAGGCGGACCGAGAAGATTTGGTGCATGGAATCTGGGATGGTTATATCCCTCTTGAATGCCGACCGAAGCTAACGATCCATCAACTTACAGCAGGGCTAACGTTGGAGGAAGCACATGAACCTCTTCATTGCGACATAGACACCAGTAAACCTTGTGGGTTAGGACCTGGTTCCCTGTTGGGATGAAATTCTAGCCTAGGGGTGATTAGTTTGGTCCCTTGTGGCGTTGGTGGACCAGGTATATACGAGCGGAATCGAGGATCGTCTCTATATAATCAACTCCTAAAGCGGGTTGAGGCAACGCTGCAAGACGTAGGGTAAATTCGTGCACTTATGTGGTTAATTAATCGGATGCTGAACTATATAAGATGGGATTTGAAGAATTTTTCATGTAATTTGCTCTAATCTGCGGGGGGAGCAGAGGAGCAATATGGAGGAACGCATCAGCCAACATCTTCCCTACATAGACTTGGGATAAAGTGCTAAGGAGCCCTCGATCATTAAACTTCACATGCAGTCCTTTGGCATCAACGCATAGAACATTTGGAAGGTTAAGTCCGAGCTGTGCCTTTCTTACAGTCTCCAAATAAGGTCCAAGTGTTGATGTCGATGCCACCTGTATGACAACCACAAAAATGATATTATAATTTGGATAAAATTCACTAATGATAAACAGCAAAATGTATGAAGTAAGCTGGATGAATAAAATTACCAGAACAATTGGGTGCGTCTGGGAAGCTAAACTGGTGCAGATATCAATGAAAAATGCTTCCAATCTTGTCTTATATAGTTCAACATCTGATGTATTAACAGTATCACTCTCATCTTGATACTGCAGAAGTGCACGAATTTGTCCTCGATCTTGTAGAGCTGTCTTAGCCCTATATAGGAGTCGATTTTACAAAAATGAACCTTGTTTCTACTTGTCCATTCTTGTTCCCCCAGCGGCACAAGGGACCAAACCAATCACCCCTAGGCTAGAATTTCGTCCCAGCAGTAAATACGAAAAATGCTAATCCAGGTCCCACCCCCACAAGTTTTATTTGTGTCTATGTTGCTATGAAGAGGTTCATGTGCCTCCTCCAATGTTAACTCCGCCTTAAGCCGAAGGATCGTTGGCTTGGGATGGCATTCAAGAGGGATATAACCATCCCAGTTTCCATGCATAATATGAATATACTTTTATCTTCTAAAATGTATTCATACTAATGAAGGAAGTGAAGGCGAACATATTTATGAAAATTATAGAATTATCAAGGAAAATGAAGTTATATCTTTGAGTTCCCTCAGTTTCCAGGAACCAACCAGTGGGTCTCCAGCAAGTGTATGTAGTCGTATTTATAAGCAGGATATGCACACAACTGACACAAGAATTCATTTCATTTCCCTCTTTTATTTCTTCTGAGCCATTTGAAGAATTCAAGGTTTAAGTTTACATGTGCCTAAATGTATGAAAATAAGGCAAAGAATCAAATTATATGTGCCTAGCAGTGCCCATTCTCTTCTTTTGCCCATCCACATGCCATGTTAAGAAGAGAATGGGCATTAGCTTGGTTTTCATGCACATCTCGAATGGAAGTGTTTTTCTCACACGCAAAAGATATGGCCAGTACATGATTTCAGCAGCTTATAGTTGTGCCAGGGATTAATTCATGTTTTCGGGATTATTTAAGATTTCTAAAAATTTATAATCCATTTGGCAAACAATTTATAAATAATTTAATAATATAATTAAAATCAAATATTAATTTCAATTACATATTCTTAATTAGTGAGCATTTATTATCAACACATTTTTATTCATCTTTATATTTTTATTTTAAATTTGTTAAATGAATATTTAGACGGTAGTGTTACAATATGACTCTATAATCATTATATCTAAGTGACATTCCACTTCAAATTTAAAACTTTCTAATGTAGTCATACATCACGGTATATGGAAACAGAATATGGGAGATACCTCACTCTAAATGGACAGAAATTTAGCAACAATTTATTCTCCCTTTGCAATCCTGCACACTATTTCAATCCCGTAGTACTTATCCCAATTTTACAGTCGTTTCAACTGGTGGTGTCCATCTTTGATTGTGTGACTTTCCATGTATGCTTGCAGCCCCAATACTACTAATCCACATCAAGAATGAACATAAAAGTGTTTCATTTTTCAATTTCATCTCTCACCGAATGACATGAAATCACAATCACAGAAGATGACATGGCTACAAGACATCACTCACGATCACACTTTTTTTCATTTTTCAACATCATCTTTCACGAAATGGCATCCCAATAGGACATCACAATCACAGAAGATCAGGAACGGATCCAGGATCGGGCTACAAGTTGGGCTAATACGTAGAAAAAAATTAATTTACACATAAAAAAATTTTACTAGATTTTTTTTTTTTACACTAAAAAAAAAAAAAGAAAAGGGGCCAGGACTGGACATCCCATTTTAAAATGAAAACATATATGTTGGGAACTTGGGATTTCAATAAAACAAAATAGGGCGACATCCCATTTTAAAATGAAATTATGCACTTGCTTTGTTTTCATGCACAGTTGATGTACTTGACATCTCAAATGCAAAAATAATGTTTTTTAAATCTCAAATGCAAATCACCCTTTTGAAAGTGGCAAACCATGCACTGAATCCATTTTAGGCACTGTGCTTGGTAATATAACACATTACTGTCACTTCCGTGCGTGATAGAATGTCCTTGAATGTTTAATGGGTTAATGCCATGCTAGACACATTCTCGATCAAGGTAATCTATATTCGCTTTCGGTTTATTTGAGCACTTTGTTAGAATCGGCCTTGTCTTCTCGAGCTTAATCGAGGCTCTAACTTGACATCGATTTTTCAGAGTGAGTCTTCATCTATGACGATATTGAATTATCTTTTAATATTTATAACTTATGAAACTCAAGATTTTTCATGTTGCTGTGTCACAGTATTTTATCATTTAACTCTGAAAATGGACTATGCCCATGTTTGATATATATTAAAATCTGATTTCAATCTCAAGTAATTTTAACTATACGATCTACAACAATTTAAGTATAAGCTCATGTTTGAGCCACATTACTTTCTTCATTCTCATTCTTTTACTCATTTTTTCAACCACACATTTTTCAATAAAATAATATTTTTTATCACATCAATCACTTTTCTTTCTTTTTCAACCATATATTCTCCATCACACAAGACAAAAAAATACATTCTTGAACTCAAAATGTGTATCAAACAGGGGCAAAGTGTAACTAGATGGTGAACATAAGTCAAGGAACCAAATTACAGATGGCTAGCAGTACATGTTCGGTCCAATCAACTCCAATCATTTTTTAAGGAGTTAATGCCCATTATCTTCTTTTGCCCATCCACATGGCATGTTAAGAAGAGAATGGGCATTAGCATGTTTTTTAATGCACATCTCACATGCAAGTGTGCCAATTTCCCTTTTCTCACACAAAAAGATATGGCTCGGTCATGATTTCAGAGCATAAACGTGTGCCAGGGATTAATATTCGGGGTTATTTATCAATTCTAAAAATTTAAAATGGCAAACAAGTTATAAATAATTTTAAAATTTTAATTAAAATCAAATATCAATTTTATTTACATATTCATAATTAGTGATCATTTACTATCAACACATTTTTATGGGATCCACTGCAATTTATATTTATAAATTGATTTCAATTTAGTTACTTTTACTTGGTAAATGAAACGTATTTCGGGCCATTTTTAATTCTAGTCAAATCGCTCCACTGATTCGATGTTCGACAAGTTGTCAATTACTGAAGAATACGGTGGATGAAGATTTAGATTGTAGACAACTTCTATCGTGGTATTACAATCTGACTCCATAATCATTATGTTTAGGTGTCATTCGACTTCAAATTTAAAATTTTCTAATATAGTCATACAGCACAGCATATAGAGATAAAATACGAGTTAAATTCTAAAGCTAGGCAAAAGATAGTGATGAACCGTATTGTGCATTGATAGAAATTACTGAGTTTATAGTACATTGCATTGTTACAAGAATGATCTAAAAGATAAGGCTGTTAGATAGTTTCTTAATTTATGGATTATGTTAAAATCTTTATACAACAGAATTGTGGTCCAAAACTAGCAAAGAGAGATGGTTGTGACAACATGGAAAGAGGGTTGAATCATCCAGCACCTGGACTAACATTGGGGCTGAAGTGGCTGCTGATGTTAACTCTCAACACCCTCCTTCAAGCTGGAGGGCACACAAGTGACTCCTAACTTGTCTTTTAGGAAAAGGAATCTCGAGTGATTAAAACCTTTAGTCAATAGGTCTGCAATTTGGTCTGAGGTTGGTACATATTTAACCTCAAGTTCCTTTGCCAGAACCTTGTCTCTGATGAAGTGAATCTCAAGTTCTATGTGCTTTGTTCTAACATGATAAACTAGGTTAACTACCAACGCTTCTGCTCTCATATTGTCACACCACAGAGTTGGAACTCCAGATAAAGGGAGTTCAAGTTCCTGAAACAATGACTGTATCCACGCCAATTCTGAGGCAGCTAAAGCAAGTGCCCTATATGTAGATTTCGTGCTTGAACGAGCTACTGCGTGAGGACCAAGAGATCAAATTCTCACCCAAAATAGATACAATAATCCGTTGTTGATCTCCTATCATCTTGGCAGGAAGCCCAGTCAGCGTCTAAGAAGCCATTTAAGCTCAAATTTTCACTTCTTTGAATCCATAATCTATGGTCTATAGTACCTGTAAGGTACCTTAATACTCTCTTTAAAGCCTACCAGTAAGTGATGGTTGGAGATTACGGAAATTGGCTTAGTTTATTTACATTGAAAGTGATATCTGGCCTGGTGTGCAAGAGGTATTGCAGTGCCCCAACTGCACTTCTGTAGAGGGCTGGTTCAGCCATCAATTCACCATCTGATTTAGAAATGGTTTTGCCTGCAGGAATAGGTGTGGGACATGACTTTATGTTTTCCAGTTCAAACCTTTTGAGTAAATCAGCAATATAACTGGCTTGAGTGAGATGAATTCTTGAATTATGCCACATGACTTCTATTCCAAGAAAATTATGTAGCATTCCCATATCCTTTAATGCAAGCTCCTCGTTCATTGAGTTTATGAAACCTTGTATTAGATCCTTATCATTTCCTGTAACAACAATATCATCCACATAAATGAAGGCAAAAATCACCTGACTTTTATTCTTGAAATAGAACAAAGAGGTATCAGCTACAGATTGTCCGAACTTCCAATCAGAAATGTTGTTTTCAGCTTGTCATACCAGGCCCTAGGTGCCTGTTTCAAACCATAGAGGGCCTTTTCGAGTTTGCAAACATGATTCGGTCTAGTTTCATCTACAAACCCTTATGGCTGATTCATGTAAACTATCTCTTCCAACTCTCCATTTAAAAATGCGTTATTGATGTCTACCTGTCTGATAATCCAACCTTTGCAATTGCTAGAGTAAGTATTATTCTCAGTGTTGACGATTTAATGACTGGACTAAAGGTCTTATAGTAGTCAATTCCAGGAGTTTGATGAAAACCTTTTGCCACCAACCTGGCTTTAAATCTTTGGACTGAGCCATCAGTGTTATGTTTGATTTTGAAGACCCAGTTGTTGCCAACTATGTTGTGGGTAGGTAATGGAGGCACATGTTTTGGTTAAGGCACTGAAATCATCTTCCATAGCTTTCTTCCAGCCTTCATCCATCATTGCCTCTTTAACACTCTTAGGTTCAAACAACTTAGGATCTTTTCCAGTTGGTCCTGACAAGTAAGCCTTTAGTTTGAATATTCCTAATTTCCCTCTAGTAACCATAGGATGTTGATTTTGAATTATTGGTCTCTCTTGAATCTGATTTTCACCTATCTACTGAGTACTCTCAGTCCCTTCATTTTCTCCCATTATCTCAGATGCTGATGCTGCAAGTTCTTCAGTTCTATCAGCCTCATTGTTGTCATGGAAATCATTTACCAGTTGATTGTCACTTGAGTCAGAGAGGAAGTGATACTGGCCATGAACTGCTTTAGTCTGAGATGTATCAATAGGATTTGAGGTGGATTTGTTCAGATCAAATGGAAGGTAAAATATAGGGAGTAACTATTTCAGGCACTAAAGACTGAGGTTGATCTTTGACATTAAACAAGGACTCAAAGGGAAACTCAGATTCATTAAAAACCACATGTCTAGAGATGTACAATTTTCCTGAAGGGTTAAGGCACTTATAGCCTTTTGTGAGAGTCATTGTATCCAAGGAAAATGTATTTTGTGGAGTGGAAGCTAAACTTGTGTTTCTGATAAGGTTTTAAGCAGGGGTAACATGCGCATCTAAAGGTTTTAAGGCCTTTGTAGTTGGGTTCTATTTTGTATAAAGTTTGATAGGGAGATTGATGTTTTAGTGTAGGCATTAGCAGCCTATTTATGAGATATGTAGATGTATGGAAAGAGTGCCACCAGAATTTTAAGGGCAACTGGGCCTGAACAGGCAAAGTCAAGCCTGTCTCAGTTATGTGTCTGTGTTTTCTCTCTATTCTTCCATTTTGTGCTGAAGTATAGGGGCATAGATGTCTAAATTTTATTCCTTGTTATGTCAATAGGTTAGAGAAGACTCTGTATTCTCCCCCCCCCCCAAATCAGCCTGCAAGGTTTTAATCTTGTAGTTCAGTTTGTTTTCAACAAGGTTTGTAAAATGGCATAATACTTTCACGGCTTCTAATTTTAGCTTTAGGAGGTAAATCCAAGTAAATCTGCTAAAATCATCCAAGAAAGTTATGTAATATTTGAACCCTAAGGTTGATAGTACTGGTGCAGGTCCCCATATATCAGTGTGAACTAATTCTAGGGGTATTTTGGCGTGTGATGAGGATAGAGATAAATGTAACATATAAGACTTGCCAAGTTGACATGCAATGCAAAATGAATTGATGGCATTTTCCTTAGCTTTCATATTACAGACCTTGAACACTTAAGTCATTACTTGCTTGGAAGGATGGCCAAGTCTATTGTGTCATACATCAATACTTAAAGACTCTTGACTCGAAATAACAGGGAATTTAACTAGAGACTCTTGGCTAGGATTAACTGAAGACTCTTGATTACTGGGAACTGAAGAAACATTGTAGCAGAATTTATTTGAGAAACTTGAATGATGAAGAAGTTGATTGATGCTTTGATGAGGAAAACCCAAATGATAGAGCCCGTACTTAAGCCTCCCTTGTAGCATCACCTCCTTAGTTGACAGATCCTTGACAAAACAATAATTAGAGTGAAATTCCATGAAAACTTTATTGTCTGAAGTTAATTGGGATACACTAATAAGATTTTTCTTTATTTCAGGAACATGTAGCAACTTATTTAGCACCAAAGTTTTGTCATTTAGAGCAGGGATATGTGAGGTACCAAAGTGTGAAATATTCAGCTTACTTCCATTCCCACCATGACCTTTTTCTTACCAGTGTAGTCACTTGCTGAGGATAAGTTTCCTTCATCTTAGGTGATATGGTTGCTGGCTCCTATGTTTGTAAACCAAGCTGGATCACTTACTGTGTTGGCCATGGCTCGGAGAGTAGCAGGTGACAAGTTGTAGTTGATCCTCTGACTTGGTGATGTACCAGTGTACCTTTCATCATATCTATAATT